ACCCGGGACGGCGCGGGGGGACTCGGTGCCGGTGGCGGGGCAGTGTGCAGGGAGCTCAGCAGGGATCTGGCTGCGGGTTTCAGGCGGCAGCACATCCCTACCAGCCCCACAGAGCGAGTGTCGCTGTCCCGGGATGCGCCTTTGCTTTCTGGGGACACCCCGACAGCTCCTGGGATTTATCACCTTAGCCAGCCGCGCTGGGAAAAATCCCTGGGAAGCACCGAGGTTTGTGGCACAGGGACACGCTTTGCGGTGCTGTCAGTGCTGGTTTTCCAGCTCCACGTGCTTCCTTACCTGGAAAAACAAAACGCAGAGAGGCAAATGTGGGCTTTGGACTTAAAATTGTGCTGTCGTCGGGGCTGGGTGACATTTGCGAGCGGGTTGAGGGTTTATAGCCCACGCTCGGGGGTGCTGGGGGTCTCAGAGCCGGTGTGCAGATGTGGCTCGCAGCAGGGAAGGTGAGTGTTGGCTTTGGGCACGGTGGCGTTAAAAGTATTGACTCTCTAACAGCGGGAATTTAACCAGGAATCCTGGACAGGTTTATAGAAAAGGTGTTTGAATCCCAAGAGTCCCTTGGGAAGTCTGCCCTGGGGGAAATTCACTTCTGGAGACAGGGAGGGAGGAAATCCCATGGACAGGGGCTCTCCATTCCTCCTCGCATCCTGCTCCTGCCCCGTGCAACAAGTGCCTGAGCACAAAGCTGTTGCCAGCAGGTGAATTAGGTCCAGTAATGGAAAATCCAGGGCCAGGGATTCAGGGAGCTTTTTTGGCAGACCTGGGTGTTTTCTAATACCTCCCTTACTGGGACTGCAGCAGCAGGACTTGCTGTTTGAGTCATGGGGGGGGTGCAACTCCCTGCTTTTTGTTTTCATCCCTAATAAAGTACCTCACCTCCAACAGCAGGCAGATTTTCCTGTTTAAATCCCCTTCTCCAGGAGTAACAGAGAAAGGCGTGCAGGACCTGGTCCATCTTTGCTAGCACCTTAGTTTCGCTCTCATTCCTGGTGTTTTAAGAGAGCAGCGCCGTGTTTGCAAGTGGATTTATTTCCACGCCGGCTTTTCCCTCGGGCCAAGCTGCGGCATAAGCAAGGGGAATCGCTCCAGTGTGGCAGGCACCCACGCAGGCACCGCCTTGGCTTTAGCATGGCCTTTTAGAGCCAGCCTAAGCAAATCGCTCTGGATATGGGGTAAGGGGTGTCCTGCCACACATCCCTTCGAAGATGCCGTGAAGATGTCCACGTCCCAAACAGCTGGAGATGGAAGGGATACCCAAAGGCAACGCTAGATATGAGAAATTCCTGTTGTGACATGAGTCAGAGAGGAAAGTAACATTCCTGGGCCAGCAAGCACCTTTTTCCACTTAATCAGTATAGAAAACGAGGCTAAGATCCTCTTTGCCTTTAAACTTGGAGCAGCCTGGGGGAGCAGAAATCATCCCAGGGCGGGCAGAGTTCCGGGACTGCCGGCACGCATCCGTGTCCTCCCCATCCAGGGGTCCCTGCTGGGAGAGTTGCGCCAGCCAGAGCTGGAAAACTTTGAAATGGGGCACGAAAGCAGCTGGTTGAGGTTGGATTGTGCTAGGCAGCGAGTGGCTCCAGCCTGGGTATCCTCCGTGAAAAACAGGGAAGGGGATTTGCGGTCGCTCGCTTGTTTGCATCCGGCAAATCTTTTTGGAGCTGCCTGGTTGTTAGAGAGCTGGCGACCCCGGCAGTCGGCTGGGTTTTGCAGCAGTCACGTGGCCTTTGTTTGTGTTGGGATGGTAAAGTTTAGGAAGCAGGTTGGAAAAGCTTAGGGTCTTTGTACTTTTTCCCCTGAAAGGGAAATCCCATTGTTTTGTGTGAAAGCCAGGGAGAGCCTCCGGCTTTCCTGCGCGCTACCGGCCCCGGCAGAACATAAAAAAACCCTTCTCAAATTTCTGGCTAGAAGTAGCATTTCTCGAGGGTTAAAAGTAGCGAGCAATTTAGCGAAGGAATATATCCAGCCTCAAAATGAGGTTGAGTTTCTTGGCTCTCGGGAAAGCACGCCGGGCTCATGCCCCGTTGGTCACAATAGTGATGACGTAGCTTTAAAAACTTGGTGTTTGAGGGCAAAGACCTGCCTCAGAGCCAACTCAGCTGGACCCTGGCTAAATAAAAAGGTTGTGCTTCTACCTACAGTATTATCTTTCAAATTGTGAATAGGTGGGGGGAGGTTTTGGAAGAGGCAAATTAATTTAGTTGGAATTCCCACCTGGCACAATGCCTTTGCTTGCTGAAAGCACGGAGGGAGCTTCACCACTCCCCTTGGGAATTATCTATGCCTGTGAAAGCCTCGGGAAGCTCGGAAATAGTCTAGTAAAAGTATCTGCTTGTGGTATATTGTCTAGATCTTATCTCTCCAAAAATGTACAGTTTTGTTTTTTGGGGAATTGCTTTATATGGAACTGCTCTTCGTCTTGTTTATGTCTGGGGTGGGAAGTACTGGGAGGGAGGGGGAAAACGCCCTTACAGGATTAGGTACGTTAAGTGATTTGTAGGTGGGGGCATGAAGCCCCCAGAAAGAGCCAGTAAATAGCCTTCCACTGGGAAAAATATCTGGGAAAGACCCTGGGAGAGCAATGCTAAGCAGCACCCGGCTCCTACACACTGTCTGCAGGCATTTCTTCATCCGTCTGCCGCTGTTTTCCTGAGAAAACCAGCTCGGTGGGGGCACTTAGCTTAGCAAAAGCGTTTGTGGTTGACTCGGAGAGCATCTCCCCTTCTGAAAGCAGCTCACCCTGTTCTGGGAAGGGAGCAGCATCACCAGCAAAGAGCCTAAAATCAGAGAAATCCCCACCAGGGACTCTTTCTCGGCCCCAGCTGAAAGTGCTTGAGATGAGGCCCCGAAAGGGGTGTACTGGAGTAAAGTCCCAAATTCCTCCTGCCCAAGCATCCTTTTATATTCCAGTCCCAGGGGCATGATGCAGCAGAAATAGCTCCTGCCTCTCCCCTGCAGAAAGAGAAGCGCCTGAGGACTTTATTCAGCCTGGGATGCTCCCATTTGCTTTAAAAAGGATCTTTTTGGAGGTGCTGCTTGTACACAGTCAGTCTTGGGACAGCCCCCACCTCTGTCTTTCCTCCTCTGGGCTCTTATGAGAGGTCTCAGAGATTTTTAATTGTTGGAACATCCATAAACAGACCACCTTTTAATTATTAATGGAAGCAGTGGGGCTTTGCAGGGTTTTGGGAGGGGGCTCACTTGCTGGCTGGCGATAACAAAACCTCTTGCAGACGATGCTGACCGAAATCGAGGTCTCAGGCCGTTCCTGTCGGCAGAGTCCCGCCGCCCTGAGCGAAGCATGACCACCGGTGGTCACTGGCCTCACCAGAGTGCAGAGCAGCCCCAGGAGGACCCCTCAGCCAGCCCTCTGACACGGATTAAGTTTAACCCCACTGTGCAACACATCGTGATTAACGAGCACAAGGAGGTCACGTTTAATTGCTCCATCAAAGTACCTTGGGTCCTGCTCCGGTCGGATGCCCAGGGCATTTCCTTGTGGAAGGACGGAAGGGAGCTGAATGTCCTGGACCGCATCGCCACCAGGCACTTTGAGATCTCTGACGAGGAGGAGGTGGCAATGACCTCCACCTTCAGGTAACTGGTGCTGTCCTTCCTGGAGGGATGCCCTACACATTGGTTCCTTGGGAGAAATGGGAGGCTGGGGAGCTTGCAGCGGCTTGGGACTGGGACTAAAATGGGCAGGCACTCCCTAGTCCCCAGAGCCTGGTTTTGCAGCCCCAGCTTGTGCTAGGTGTAGCGCTGTGGGGTGATTGGGACAGATTGAAACCCACTCCCAGGGTGTCATTGTCCTCCTACGAGAGCTGTGGGAGGGGCCAGTCTCCCTCCCAAAGCCCTGACATGATCTCTGTTCTCTTTGGCAGCATCCTTGCCGCCCAGCGCTCGGATAACGGCTCCTACGTCTGCAAACTCAACATCTCTGGCACAGAGGTGGTGTCAGATCCCATCTTGGTGCAGCTGGAAGGTGAGCTGGAGGACCGTGATCTGGGAGCTGTCCTCCAGAAACAGGGAGTCCTGGTTGGGAAGGGGCTTGTTGCTGGAGCTGGGCACAGCCCCGGGCAGGACACTTTGGGGTTGTTGATGGGGCTGTGTTGCCGAGAGCTTTCTGAATCTTTTGCTTCTCTGCTTGTGTCCGTACAGGGCTCCCTCACTTCATTCGTCAGCCCGAGAAGCTGAATGTCACCAAGAACAGTCCCTTCAACCTCACGTGCCAAGCCGTGGGCCCGCCGGAGCCTGTGGAGATCTACTGGTTTCGCAACAACATCCAAGTCAATGAGAAGCCCCACATCTCCCCATCAGTCCTGACCGTGCCAGGTGAGCCGTGCTGCTACAGGCAGCAGGAACACCTCCCTTCCGTATGGCTCCTGGGAAGGGCAGGGTGGGAAGGTGTCTTGTGCCATCTCACAGCCTGTCCCCTTGGCCTTGCACCTCCTGTTAAGAAGGAGCTGCGCTCCCGTGCGCCGGCACAAGGCCGTTGGAGCTTGGTTTGGTTTTGTGTGTTGCTGAGGCTTGGCTGAGCTCAGCACAGATACAGCTACCAGGAGGTTTGGTGTAAAATAAAGCCGTCAAAATGTACACGGTGGGGTGCGGGGATGCAGCTTTGCAAAAGAGGTACCACAGAGGTACCAGCTTGCAAAAATGAGCCCCAGCCTCTTACTGCTCCATCCTCAGCTCTGGGAGCATGGCTCTACCCTGCACCGTCCGTGCCGCTTGTTCGGCAGCCTTGGGGATCACTCTGCCAGGGCTGATCTGGGGGCAGGAACTCCTCATCTGGCTGCTGCCAGATATTTCTTCCATGGTAGAGGCAGGATGCTCAAGCTGCTCCTTCCTAAGCAAGAAGCAGATCTTTCTCCTGGCCTGTGGCCATGCCAGCAAGTCTCTTGCTGCTCTTAGGGGCTGCTTTACTGGTAGTCCCTTCTTAATGTCTCTGGAAGACCTTGGGTTGGCTCCTGCAGCATGTTTCCATGCCAGTCTGGTGGAGCAGAGGGAGAAAAGTCCTTCATGTGACATAAAACCCATCATGGTTTTGCTGCAGAGGCGAATAAGAGGATGGATTTCTTGATTTGCTCATGAGGAGAATGCCACTAGCTAATTAACAACGAGACTATAACTGGCTTGTCTTGGCATCCAAAGGCAGTCTTTAAAAGTCAGTGAAAGCCGGAAGAAGTGACTCATTCCCCTTGGATGTTCTTGCATCCGTCTGGCACGCTCTAGGCTGGGTCATTTGAACAGTCCTGCTCCCGGCCCAGGAGCCCCGTCGCAGTGAGAGGCACCGCTGCTCGGTGTGCCCGGCGGCGAGCCCTTCGCCTTGCAGCAAGCGACATGCCCGGGAGGGACAGCCCTTCACCTCCGGAAAACTCCTTGGCAAGGGATAGAAATCCTGAGCGCTGCTGCTTCCCAGGTTCGTCTTGGCTATGCCAATGCCCTTTGGGAAGCAAGCAGCCGGCTGCACTCGGGTATTTCCAGTGGCCCCCAAAACCAGTCGTTCTCTGTTATCAGCGGGGAGATTTGAGCAATCTTTGAAAAGCAATAAGTCATCTGATTCAAGCCGTGGTGGTGGGCTCTTCTGCTTTCTGCCTTTCCCTTTTGGAACGCGAAACAGTTGCTTACTCAGGAGGTTGTGCAATGGCGCCGTAGGGACGTATGGTCCTACCCGCCGCGCGCGCATCTCGGACCCATGGCACATGCATGCTCGTGGCGTGGACGGTGGGTGAGCTGCATCGCGGCGGGGCTTTGGGTCACCCCCGGGCAGCTGGCGCTGAAGTGCTGCGGAGGGAAGCGATGAGCGGAAAAAAAAAGGTCTTTGGTGTTCCTGGAAAGAAAAACAATAAAGCAACAGTGCAAGAAAGGAAGCCACAAGGGGTTTTCTGGGAGCAGCAGGTGGAGAATTGGCGCAATTTGGGCGTTTTGTGCAGGTCCAGTGAACAGATCCTTGTTTTTTCCCTCCGCAGGTCTTAACGAAACGGCGCTGTTTAGCTGCGAAGCTCACAACAGTAAAGGACTGACCGCATCCAGCCCGGGGCAGGTCAACGTGAAAGGTAAGCAGTGACATGATGGTCGCTTTACCTGGTGTGCAAGCAGCTGTCCTGATCTCCGCTCTCCCTCTACATGAGCTGAAGGGGATGTTTCTAGCACTCCCGTACTTCTTTTGCCCCGTTTTCAACCTGTATTGAAAGGCGAGTGGGATGCATGCCATAGCATGGTCCCCCAGCGTGGTTCTGTCATCCCAGTGTCGCCACTGTGGGAGGAAGCACCAAGAAGCACATTTGAAAGCAGAACTGTCAGCAACACCCCCGTCCCCACCCCCCCCACC